TTGCTTTGTAATTAATTAATTATATAACACTTTTTTCATGGACTGGGTTGTCAAATGACGGCGTGTAAGGCGGTCTGATGTCGGTCTGTCGGATCTCACCTTTCGGCCCAAGCCCATTTCAACTTTCTAGGCCTGTTAACCAAACAGGACCCCACACATACTGTTTCAGTGATTCGCATCTCCCGCCTCACGAGGCTCAATTAATATGTCTCGGCTCATGGTTAATCTCCCGCCATTGAAAAACATAATCTGTACGGTGGATGATGCTCTTTGCTGGATCACGCCTCATCTTCGATTAAACATAAATTCTCGTATGATAATGATACCACATGTAATAATTAGGCAAGTTGATACATCATACATTATGATTTAATAATTATAATGAATATTTATATTATAAATACATCATGATTTAATAATTATAATGAATATTTAGATTATAATTAAATATCATTTGTGTGTGTGATTTTTAAAAACATGACATTTCAATATTGCAAAATTATGGTTGTTTAATCGTTAGATCTGATTAAATGTAGCCATTATCTACTATTGGAAAATGCTACAATCCCGTTACGGAATAATTCTGCCGAGATTTGTAACCGTTAGATTATCATGTAACCGTCGTGGATACTTGATCTAACGGTTACCAACTGTAGAATCTCCCTCTACAATTACTCTTATGATGCACGGTATTAATTTTTTATTTTTCTATCCAATCTCGTATTTAGAGATACAAATTATCAATTCTCACTCCCGTGTTTTTTTTTTCTTTTTATCCAAATTTTCTTTCTCACCTTAATAAAACATATAAGTAAAAACTAACCATGAAGTTATCTAAAATTAAGTTTGCACACGTTATTTTACTATGCTCAATGTTTTGTCAAAATTTTAATATAAACTTAATTTTGGGAACAAAAAATCAGCTTATATGTGGAATTTGATAATTTACCGTAGACGTGTAAACGTGTCGAGCAACTTGAGCTCTTGATGTTCGAGTTAGAGCACAAGTCTTTAATTAAGTCGAGCCAAACACGAGATTTTTAATCTGTTATCTAAACAAGTTTGAACTTGACTCGTTTATCAATATTAATGATCCGAAAAATAAATATTTACAAAATAATACCTACTTAATTATGATTCTAAAGAATGCAAACACATTTATAACGAAACTAATTCACGACAACATATTTATCACAATAACACAAAAAGTATGACTAAAACAACGAAACACGATCATTAATGTCATGTCCTACTCCTACAACAGCTGCAGTACTTATTAAATAATTTTTCATCTTTATATATATAAATATACATATGTTAAGTCATTCTCATTTTTCTTAAGTATATGTATGATAAATTAAATCATTTTAGAATTAATTGCTTATCGTCATCTTGTCCCTTTTAAAGCGGAATGCATAAAGTATGAGGAATAAATACGGCCGGCAGACATTTCTGCATGCTAAAGTACAATTACTAATCTACCCCTTATCTGATTCATATATAATATACATAGATACACACATATTATTGGTTTTAACTCTGAACTCTAGTTTTTATCTTCTCCCCATTTTATTTTATTTTATTTTATTTGAGAAAAAATGCAAGTGGTGAGAGGCATGCAGTTCTCCACGGTGGTCTCCGGCGAGCTGGCGGCGCTGGTCCGCCGGAACGCGGTGGTGGTGTTCACGGTGGGCGGCTGCTGCATGTGCCACGTGGTGAAGCAGCTTCTGCTGGGGCTGGGCGTGGGGCCCGCCTTGGTGGAAATCGACGGTGGTTCCGAGATCCACGGCCTCCTCCTCCGCCTCTCCAGCGGCCGGCGTGCGGTGGTGCCGGCGGTATTCGTCGGCGGCGAGTATCTGGGCGGGGTCGAGGCGGTCATGGCGTGCCACATCAGCGGAGCTCTCGTCCCACTCCTCAAAAACGCCGGCGCGCTTTGGCTTTGATTAGAGGATATAATTATTTAGTTAAATATTCTAATTAACTTTTAGTTAATTAGTTAAATTTTAACTTTTAGTTTGTGAGGATTAATCATGGCCACGTAGGCATGACATAATACATGTAAATAAGATTATGTTATGCTATTAGCTTTAATTAACTTAGTTGCTTGACTTGATTTTCACTATGATTCATGTGTTTAATTAATGTATTGAGACAAGGTTATCATTTTTTTTTTTTTTTCCATTATTAATTGAAAAGCGCATTTCAAGAAGCGACTACATACATATTACATACGCATTATCCAAAAAAATTGTTTAATTACGAAAATACCCCTTAGTTTGGTCTAATTTGAAAAAATAAAAAATAAAAATTACATTTACTATTGAAAATTCACAAATGATGTTGTTAGTTCGTTTAATGGTTAAAAGATCATAATATTTTAACACAATCTACACTAATGATAAGAAATATTGTACTTTTAAATATGTAATTTTTTTTAGTAAATTTATTAAAAAATGTGAGTATTTAATCATTATGCAATCTGACAACAGCATTAATGTTAATAATATTTTTTTGTGGTAATACCCCTATTTGTGATAATTACAAAAGGTACACTTAAGATGCTTAAATATTATCTGCAATAGATTATTGATTTGTTTTGTAATTAGACTAATCTTAAAACTAACTTTTGCAATCCTCCCTTGTAATAAATAGATTATTTCAAATATGTCCTTGGGTAATAAATATATATTGTTTTAATGCCCTATAACCCAGGGCAGATGTTATGAACACAGAGAGTAATAAATTAGTAGTACCTTCATACATTTATTTTGAACTTTTCATTTGCTTTGGTTCCTTCTGTTAGTACTTTGTACTATTTATCCATTTTCATTACCATTTTCAATATTCTGTTGGGAAGATCAGGATGATGTATGCAGTTTTGACTAATAAGTTTTTCCCTATTTGCATAATTACAATATCTCCAAAGTAAAAGATGATACAAGACAAATATGTGTATATATCTATGTGGAAAATTGTAAATATAATCAATAGTTCAGTGAAAATTATGACAATTTTGGGTGGTATTTTTTTTTTCAACTTTCCTATTGTCAATACAATTAAATAATACTAATAAATCATTCTCATACATTACATCAACTTTAATCCACTACTAGTACGTACCCCGTGCGATGCACGGGACATAGATATTAAATGAGTTATTTTCACAAGCTCAGTTCGTTTAAGTCTAACAAGCAAGAAGTAATTATCTATTTTTCATTTTTTGTAATCAACATTAATTCGAAAAAATAATAAAGTTATAATTTATTTTTCACTTTTAATATTTATTTTGCCAGAATATTAAATATGAGCATGTTAAAACTAGCTTGTAAAATTATTAATATATTATATCACTAACACATTTATACTAATACAAAATTGATTTTAGTATATATATAGATATTTTATGATACTATTTTGTTATGAATGCTATTTAGGAAATTAAAGACTGATATCCAAATCCATCAAGGTAAGCGGTTTGGTTACTTATACTGCATAAATTATATTTTCATGATCTGACTAAAATTTATTAATTTTTCTAAATTATATTTGTCAATCCTCTCCTTTAAAGTAATTGAATACTCGGCCAAACTAGAAATGATATAATGAAACTATATCATAATTATATGCAATTTAAAATAAGGAAAGTATTTCAAAAAATCTAAATGTGATCCATGATCTTTCCTTTAAATGCTTGAATTTAAATTTTTTCTAATAGATTTCAAATATCACATTTAGGCGGGGTTTTTTGAAAAATTTTAAAAAATATTATCAAGTTTAGTAACTTTAAAATTTTTAAATGGAATTTTAGTTACTATTTCAATATTTAAGATTAATTTTGATACAATATTTTGTTGTATAATTATTATATATATATATATTAAATATATATATATATATATATAAAAGTAGGCCCTGGGCAGCCGCCCGACCCGCCTTATCTCAAGGCCTGCCCTGATTAGATCAATTTCAAATCTGAAAAAATTTGAAATATTTGATTTTAAATATGCTATAACATTATAAGAATCTTTCTTTACAAAAATATTTCACAGCCTATCTTATGAATTCTTTTATAGAAAAGTAAGAAAGAGGGAAAAATGAAAATGAGAAAAATAATAAAGTACCTTTATTTTATGAATGAAAAAAATTATCATAGGAAACATATAGTCTTGTACACAATATCTAGAAAAAAAAAGAAGTTATATTTTACTTGTGAATTGTGTTTTTAATTGAAATTGACTTGCCAACCAAATGAAGTAAATCAAATTATAAATAAAAAAATAAATTATCATCCATATTTTAAAATGGTGTGAAACAATCTTTGGGGTTAGTTATACTATGTGGTAGATTCATAAAATTGAAAAATATTTGGGATTTTGAAAAAGTAGAAAATCAAATTTACTGAAAAATTAAAATTCTACTCGTTCAGTTCTAATGGCAACATTTTTTTAGAGTGAAATATTTTCTATTTAAATAAATTTTTAAACTCTTTATAATTATTTATATAATATTATTGTATAATATCTTCAACTAACGCGACTTTCCAATCTTATGAATAAAAATACGATAACTATGCAATGTTTAACTTACGCATATTCTGAGTATGCATAAATATACCGATTCAAACCTCAAAAATTCCTCAATTTAGGCGATGCATGTGGTGTTACATCTCGTTTGGTAGTGAAGAAAAGCACATAATTATTATTATTTTTAATTAATCTCGTAAGTGATTAAGGCGATGCATGTGGTGTTACACCTCGTTTGGAAGTGATTTATTTCCTTTTTTTTTTTTGGTATGATAACATAATCATCTCATTAAACATGTGAATTAAATCAATATTCTTATTTTACAAATAACTTGCTAGCACATCAACCAGAAACATGGAATTATAATTAAATTGATATTAAAAAATTTACAACCATAACTTGAAATTACAGTTTGTTTAAATTATAATTATATAGGGAACAACTTATTAAGATGAAATTCTAATGCATTGAAAAAAGAATATATAAAATCCATTTCAAGAAAATCAATTAACGAATATGATTGTTATATATTTGGAAAAAAAAGGTCATAGGTAATAAGTGCAATTTTCGTTTAGTACCAAAATATAAGAACATAACTTAACCGCGCTTTTTAAGAACAGAAAAAGACCCCCCAGAAATCTTCTTTTGTTTCTGACGAATGGGAAGACTGTGATTCAGAAGCTCTGAGAGTGAAGAGAAAAGCCGCCGAAGCAAGTCGATGTCCGAATCGTCGCCGTCGCCACAACCCGTGCAGGTAGCGCAGCATACCCATGAATTCGATTATTGCAGAGTATTTTATGCGTGTTCGTCGCCATCACCAAAACAACAAACGAAAAAAAAAGAAAGCAAAAGATAAAAATCTCCTAAGAAAAAGACACCAAATAGGCAAACGGTCGCCGTCTCCCTCCTCCTATTCTCCGCCGCCAAATCCATTGTTTCCACGGACCACGGAACGGAAAATTTTCAATATTTGGACCTCTTACCCTAGCCCGACTCCGAAGCTGATGAGAGCTCGTGGCGATCGCCGCCGGATATCTCGGCAGAGGAGAAGGGGAATTTTGGCCGAATTGGGATTTCGGGTTCTAGCGAGGCGGATGGGATTATTTCTCAAGCTAATCGAGACGAAATTTTAATGGATCTGACGGCGACGGAGAAGGAGAATTTTGGCTGAATTGGGTTTTCGGGTTCGCGAGGTTTTTGAGATTTTTTCTAAAGCTAATTGAGACGAATTTTAATGGAACGAGTGGTTTTTTTGGCCGAGACTTTTGAAATTTTTTCCAGTGGTAGATTGTATGGAAGTTGGATAATATGGAATGTCTCCTAAAAATCTTCATATGATCTCATCCAAAATAAGGAAAACGTGTATGAAAAAATTTCAAATAAAATTTTAGGGGGAAAAGAAGGATTTGAGCGGCAAAATGAAAATATTTTTTAAACATTTTTTCTTAACTATATTATATATTAATAGATTCATCTACATTCTACTCACATTTTTTCAAAATCCCATTCAATCCTCCACTCAATTAACCTTATTTAAAATTAACACACTTTAACACAAAATCCAATCAAAATAGATTTTGATTTACATCCAATCGACCTCATAAAGTCTCTAACTATACGCCTCTCTCTTAAAAAAAAAAAAAACCCCTTTCTGCGTAAATCTAAATCCCAAATCCCTGCCTCCCTACGGCTGCAACTCTCTCCTCCATCCTCCGGCCAGCCGGCGCCAAGGCCGGCAACTCACTCCTTCTCCTTGATTGTGCTCCGCGTGCCTTAGACGGCGTTGACGGGCCAGCCAATTTTAGATGCAGTGCGGGTGGAAGCCGAGCTCCGGCGGCTATTGTGTTGCCGCCGTCCCCGCTCTGTTCGTGCTCTATTTCTCAAGGGTTGGGCTTCACGGCGGGTGGCTGTTGGTCTTTGATGTGTGTGAGGCGGGGGACGTGGATTGTGGTTGCGCGTTGATTGAAGCGGTCTCTTTGCATTGAAGGCCTTTTCGAGGTTGAGGATCTCAGATCTAGATAGCCGTAGCCGATTTGGAGTGCGGAGTTTTTGGACTGGTATTCTAGGCTGAGGACGGGCTCTTCTATATAGATTTCTTCGATTTGTTGGCTTGTGAGGTTGTAGTGTATGTGTAGTTTGACGGTGACCGGGAGGGCTTTATTTTATTAATTAGGTGGGAGTTGTCTTTTTTCTTGTGATTTTGTTCGTTTAGTGCAGCTGTGTATACTTTTCTCTTCTATATGGAGTTTTGTTTTGTGTTTGTTCGCCTCCTTGATGGAGTTTGTACCTCCTTGTGTGTGATGACAAGGGGGGTTGGTCCAGTATTCTGGTTCCAGTGTGTCATTTGACACTTCGGTTGTACTCATTTGAGTTTTTAAGTTATTAATATAATTGACGTTGGAAAAAAAAAGTCTCTAACTATACTAGTTAAGATCCTCTTTTTTCAATAATAATAATAATAATAAGAATAAACAGGAAAATTTATTACTCAGTAGATAAAAAGTATAGTTTATTACTAGGCAAGCTTACTAGTACGTAGCCCGTGCGCTGCACGGGACATAAGTATTAATGAGTTATTTCCACAGAACTTGTCCGTTAAGTAGCACGTGCGATTCACGGGAGATATTAAATGAGTGGACCATAGGGCTTGTCCGTTCAGGCCTAAAAAGTAATAGAGTTTGATCATCTATCTTTTTACATCTTTTCATCAACGTCATTTTTTTTCGTCGGAACATTAAACCTGAGTCTGGTAGCGTTAGCCCGTAAATTAATTAATATATTATCTCGTTCACATGTTTATAATAATACAAATTTGATTTCGTTATATATATTTATTCATTGATATAAGAAAAATAACAATTTTACGTAATCATGTTCCTCGTATAATACTTATATTATTTCATTATAAAATTTATTGTAGTATAATGTCATTATTATTATAAATTATAGATGTAATCTTCTTCTTCTTTTTGTTTTATGTAATTAAAATATTTAATGTATGTTCATATTATTTATTAATGTAATTAATTTAAATTATGTAAATAAATTTAAAGTAAAACATTTTGTACAAACATTTTACAAAATATACACAAATATTTTTTTAGAATTTAACTTTTTACAATAAATAACAGCTTTGAAATTCTATGCAATTATTAAAACCGATTAAATCCGCTCTATTAAAACTGATTAAATCTTTATTTATAGGCTTGACATTAAAACCGATTTTATGAGATTATTTTAGCTAAATCGCTGTTATGGACTAAAACAAATTTATACTTACATTTGACTTTTCCAGCAAAGGTAATAAAATCGGTTCTGATTTTATCCCATAACAAATCTTTAATGTTAAGCTATAAATACCAAAACAAATCTGTAATTAATGTCATTCTATTTTCAGCAAACATTAATTACTTTTGACTTTTCTTTATACTAAATCTGGTAAATGGGATACTTTTTAATATAAGTATAGACATCTGCAGATGCATCAGCAGACCACAAAAAATTATTACTATTATTTTCCTTTTGTCAAGGGGAAAGAAAAACAATTGTTATTATCAACTAGTACAGAGACTGTGCGATGCACGAGGTGCACAATTTTAAGGCTATTTATCTAGGTTTATAATTATATACATGAACAAAAAAAAATGTACGGGATATATATAGTACGTGACCCGTGCGAAGCACGAGATATATTTATTTGGAGAATATTATATTATAAGATGCAATATTCAATAAAAGTTTATAATACGCAAGAAAATTGTACAATGTTCAATAAAAGTTTTATAATATTCAAGTAGAGTCTTAAAGCCTCTTGTACATTAAGACTACTGACAAAATAATATTTAATCAATGAGTTTCCTTTCCTTGTACCTAAATTGTGAATGTGATTTGAGGAGTACAACAAATCGATATATAGCTGACTTGCTTTTTTCATTGTAGTTTTTTTTCTTTTTTTGTATAATGAATTTAAAAATATTCTAAAATATAGCAAAAATTAATTTTTTTTTTATTACAATTAGGAATTTTACTAAATATAAACTCTCAATGTATGGTGTTAATCAACGTTTAAGTCTAAAAAGTTAGGAATTTTTACCTCTCTTAATCAACGTTTAAGTCTAAAAAACAATAGAGTTATTATAAGTTTTTTTTCTACATCTTTTAAAACATTAAATATGAGCATGTTAGGGCTAGCTTGTAAAATAATTAATATATTATCTCATTAAAACATTTATACTAATAAAAATTTAATTTTAGCATATAAATTTATCCCTTAATATAAGAGAAAGTAACAGTTTTACTTATTGTTGTTCATCATATAATATTTAATTATTATTTTATTATATAATAAAAAAATATTGTTAAATAGTGTAGTAGAATTGTTATAAATTTTTTTTTACAATATATATTTAATATTTTTTTATGATTTGATAATATAAACAAATCTATACTTAACTTTGACAAATGAAACAAATAAATACTTTAGTAAGTATTTAATGTATATACTAAATAGGAATATATTTGGTATAATCAAATACCAAATATAATCAAATAAGTCAAAGTGTATATTTTTATTTGGTATTTGATTTTTTTATTATTAAATTTGTTTATTATACTTAGCTTTTTAAAATAAAATAAATAAATAAATCAATTAAATGAATAAAATATTATAATACCAAAATAGTAATGACATTTAATGCAGTTGACTTTTCTGGATAGTAAATGTAGTAAATAGAATCTCAAGTATAGATTGTATAATACGAAAATAGTAATGCAATAAATGTTGTTGACTTTTCTTTATACTAAATCTGGTAAATGGTATACCTTTTAATATAAGTATAGATTCTTTGACTTGTTACGTAGCAACTATTGGTGGGCGGAGGAAAAGCCCAATGTAACTCTTCGAATGTGGACTTTGAATTTTGGGCCAATATAAGGGGTAAAAAATGGGCCGTCTACTTCCGGTTCGGGTCAGATGGCAACTTGCCCCGAACTTCATTACATGGCTGAGGCCCAACCACATGGATTCTGCGGTCTGCGCAGCTGGCTACCAGTTGCCATTAAACCCGCCGTCCTCAAGCTCAAAAACCTTGCAAAACCACATTAATGTCGGCATGAACAATTTCCTCATCGCCCATAACTAAAAGATTGAATATTTGTTGTTTTTCACATAGACCCAGTTATTTATTTTTCCATTGATTTTTTTCTGACCCCCAATTGAAGAAACCCAGGTCGAATTTCAGCTGCGCGATTTTTGCCTAGACAATCTGCGTGCATAGGAGATGTTTTTTGTGAGGGGGCTGGCTCGGATATCGAGGTCGCGTTACGCTCGTGGTCGATGGGTATACGCTTCGTCGGGCGGCGGTGTCTACAGTAACAGCCCGCAATTGATCGAGCAATCGAATCACTTTCGGTCGGCAGTTCAATCTTCCCAAGAGGTGAATTAATTGGAGGTTTTTGAAGTTTTGAATGTATATTTTTTTTTATACATCCGAAGTTGATTTGCACTTGTGATTGTGATTGTATTGTGGAGTTTGGAAGTCTTGAGATTTCCTGTTTTCCTTCATTTTTGCCCTTTTGTTGAAGGGTGTCGTTGATGTTGGCTGATTTTTTTATTGTTAAGTGGGTCATAATTAAAGTTGCTATAATTGTGCTTGAGATGTTGTGGGGAAGTAAACTCCTATTGTTTTCTATTTTAGGCTTTGGTGCTCTCTTTACTAGGATTTGCTAGCCAACATTACAAATTCTTGAATAGTAACATATTTCTCTTTGGAGAGTTATGTGGTGACCTTGAGAGATCATGTCCTTGTAATTTGAAATGCCATATAGATGGGGAAAGTCCACAATCTTGATAAGATTAGATATATAGCAAGTTATAGGTTATTAAAAATCTGTGGGGCAGTATGATTTTGTTCTGTGTGTGATACGAGACCAAAGGAAAAATGGAACAGCAATTTTACAGTTACTCAGTTTTTCTTTTTAACATATAGTGAGGGCACTACTGTATGATGAATGTTATAGAAGACACCACTTTTAACTCTGATTTATGTTTATTGAGTTGCCACTGGTACAGGTTGCATTTGTTGTCTTAAATTCTATAATGTCGTCAATTTTCGTCGTTTTCATATACTCTACTGCATTTTGTAATATTTCCTTGTGTTTCACTGCAATTTATTTGATTTCCTACTGTATTGTACTGGTGATCAGTAGGTTTTGGGTTGCAGAGGTATTTACACTTGGGTTTCAAATGCCATAAGTAGTGTTGGACAACAGGCTCAAATTCAGAGCAGCTCTGCACTTGAGGTGAATTCAACTGCTGATCTAGTTGTTTATTTCTGTTAGACAAAAATTGTCTATTTATTGACTTATGTTAAATGCTAATTGAGATTCCTCTTGTAATTGCACGTCTTTTCATGTGTTTCTTATGTTAAGAAGCTCTCCTTTTTTGACAGGAACCAGTAGATCCTTTCTCTCTTGTTGCCGATGAGCTGTCTATTCTTGCTAACCGCTTAAGGTCGATGGTAGTTGCAGAGGTATTTCTCGCGTGTACTTCAAATTCTTCCCACATGTAGTGATGGTGGAGTTGCAATTTTATTTTTTATTTTTTTATTATTACTTTTTTAATCTCTTACAGGTTCCGAAGCTTGCCTCTGCAGCGGAGTATTTTTTTAAAATGGGAGTTGAAGGAAAGAGATTTCGTCCCACTGTAAGATCTCAGTAGACTGCATGAACTTTTTGTTTGGGAGGTTTTAATGTTGTGAAATATTGCTTTAAGAGAAGTATTAAGTGGCAAGATGTATGTTGTAAATAAGCGTAGGTACAAATAAATAGTCCAAGTTCAACTACTATAAACTCACTATGATTTCCTAAACTTTTTTTCCCTCATTTTTTTTTTAACAAAAATCTAGTTATGCTGACGTGCCACAGTGTATAACCTCCTAAAGTTGTGATGGGATAATCATATTGATTTATCATCAAGTATTGGCCATTTTTTTTTTTTTTTTTTTTCTATGTGCAATTGCTTTGTTGGATTTTTAACTTTTTTAACTCTAATATATGCAGGTTTTATTGCTAATGGCAACAGCTTTAAATGTACCAGTGCCAAGGCAACTATCTGAGGCTGCCGTTGATAAATTATCCACAGAGTTGCGTTCGAGACAACAATGTATAGCTGAGATCACAGAGATGATTCATGTTAGTGCTCCTGAGTTTCCACTTAATCATTCTTAAGACTTCAAATACATGCATGCCTTTTCATGCTTGTTTGCACAGTTTTCTTACATGTGCAGAACCAGTTCATGTATATTTTTCCTCGAAGTAGTACCTATATCTGCTTTGCTTCTTGGTTAGTAACTCCTCACATATTATCATAGGTTGCTAGCCTTCTCCATGATGACGTGTTGGATGATGCCGATACTAGACGAGGAATTGGTTCATTGAACTTTGTTATGGGAAATAAGGTACTTCATATTTTCCCTTTTGCACCCCCACGTTATTCCAGTTGAACTATCAGGTCAATCTTGTTGAATTTTAATAAAAAGATACTTTCTTTACGCTTTAGTTGATGATACTGAGAGACATTAATTGTGTTACTCTTTGTTCTAAAAAAATATGACCCGCATGGGAAATGTGGACTGGGTTGAAGAAAGGTGAATGATTAGAGACAAAATGTGGTTTTGTTTTAATTGGAAAATGCTTTCTTGTGTTTATATATTTATATATTTTTTGATTTGGCAGTTAGCTGTATTGGCCGGAGATTTCCTACTATCTAGAGCTTGTGTGGCCCTTGCCTCTTTGAAAAACACCGAGGTACCTCTTAACTCATCGGCATATTTCTCTTGCTCGCTTATGAAGTGCGTTTTTGAAATGAACTTATGCCTGATTAAGGTACAAAACTGTATTGTATACTTAATTTAGAATCACACTAGAAATAATATGTACTTTGTTCTTTTACTATTTTGCACAGGTCGTGTCCCTCTTGGCTAAAGTTGTCGAGCATCTTGTTACTGGAGAAACCATGCAGATGACTACCACATCTGATCAGCGTTGCAAGTAAAGCTATTACAAATTATATTCAAGAACCTTTTCTTTTTTTTTGTCTTTTTTTTTTTTTTTAAAAAAAAAAGAAATTGTATTTCATCTTATAAATGTTTTCTTTTGGCAGCATGGAATACTATATGCAGAAGACATACTACAAAACTGCATCATTAATTTCGAATAGCTGCAAGGCAATTGCCCTTCTTGCTGGACAAACTGCAGAAGTTTCGGTCCTAGCCTATGATTACGGCAAAAATCTGGTCTGTACTTTTTTTTTTGGTCCACGCCTTAAATCCCGATTGGTAATGTGTTTTGCATTGGATGATTTTACTTTTTAGATTCATATTGAGTTCAGTTCTATCGTTACAAATTTTTGCAGGGGTTAGCTTATCAGCTAATTGACGATGTACTTGATTTCACTGGCACATCGGCTTCCCTTGGAAAAGGCTCCTTATCTGATATTCGCCATGTAACTCTTCTTTTTCTCTTTGTCTTTTTATGTAATATTAGCTCGATATTGTAAACACACCTGAAATGTTTGGATTTTCTTTATTGATTTTTTTTTTTTGAATTATTACTGCTCCTATACTGTTTGCTATGGAGGAGTTCCCGGAATTGCGGGCCATTGTTGATCAAGGATTCGACAACTCTGCCAATGTGGATCGCGTAAGTTTTATGAGATTCTGAAATAAAAATATAAACAAATTAATAAAAAAAAGTGAGTATATAAAAGAAAAGGGAAAATGTACGTTCAAACTTTCAAGTAAAATGTGATTCGAAAATGAAATTACAGGCTCTAGAATATCTTGGAAAGAGTCGTGGGATTCAGAAAACGAGAGAGCTGGCAGCAAAGCACGCCAGCCTGGCGTCAGCTGCAATTGATTCATTCCCGGAGAACGATGATGAAAATGTGCAAAAGTCAAGGAGGGCACTTGTTGACTTAACACAGAGAGTTATTACCAGGTCAAAGTAAGAAAAAAGATCGTACGGTGATTTTCATTAAGCTCAGGCCACGAGCAGACAGGTTTAGGAAAGTTTTGTTCCTTGTTTTCATTATTCAGCTTTTTTCATGGTACGATTAAATAAATGTGTCCCGCTCAAGTAAAACCGGCCTGTAACCTAGTCATATCCATTGTAAATTATGTGCAATTCGAAATATTCTGCTAGGAGATTTTATCGGTTCAGGAGGGTTTTTCGAACCTTTCTCTATGGG